AAACACAAACCAAGAAAGTGACAGCATTTTACTACACGTACCCCCTGCATAGCAGGGTACGTTTAAAAACATCGTTTAAAAACATCGTTTTATTCACTGAGAATTTGGAATTCTTTACAAGTTTATCAAAGTTAAATTAAAGGCGCTGAATCAGCGCGTGTGCCTACTACGATTGTATGCAGATTGTAAATATGGTGCTTTAAGTCTATGCAAATATTTAGCSTCACACAGRCTTTATTTTGGTACTGTAGTGTTGATGAGCCGAGATGACAACAACAACAACAACAACAACAACAACAAAAAGAAAGTGCAGAATATCGTTAGGTATTTTTTTATCAATAACAATACAAGGCACTTTTTATTGGATACAAAGTAATAAAGTGCGAACAATATCTCRATGAAATAAAATCTAAATAATAGTTTAAGTCACCATTTTGGACAATGGCAGTTCTAACTAGGCATTGTTTGATCTTGTTTCTTTAATAGAATACATTCATTAGAGTTTTGTTTGTGTTTTGTTTGTTCATGCGTGAAGTTTCAGAACCAGTATTTGGTTGGGCTTTATCTGACTGTTAGGAGCAATTTCCTCTGAAAAAAGACCTAAAACTTTTAGAATACTAATAGAACTTTTCATTACACCGAATATTGGGATATGAAAGCTTTGACAAAGAAGAACTAAGGCAAAATATATACTCACAAAAGCAAACGTACCTCGCAAACTTTTACGGCAGTGAATTACCACGAGAAATTTTCACGAACTTGTTCGTAAAACCGCAGAGATGATTGAATTTTCGGCGGTCATTCGCACTAAGTTATATGTTCTGCCGATCGCTTCCGAGGGCTTCCTGTGTTTATGGGTCTTCCGAAGGGGTATTGATTGAATTTTGACGTCATTCTATTGTTACTTACTCATTTGCATTYGACACGATAACAAAGTGTCTACTACTTCGTAGTAGGCACAAAAAGAGCGCTACACGTTATAATCTTAAGTCAGAATAGAAATTCGTTGCGTTTAACTACACATTATCGATGACTGAAAATGGCGATTTTACCAAGGATTAGTATGCAGCATTGTAAAGTTTGTCTGAGTTCTCGACGGGGTGCAAAATGTGTGACGTTATCTGTGCGGAGCGCTATCACATGACTTCACTGTACGTTTACATCAGATTAAGGAAAATGCTTTAAAAATGGAAAGTTCCAAAGAAACAAACTTTCGAAAAGAAATTAAAACCTTTTCCAAAAGCAAAAAAANTCTTCCCTATAAGTCCGTGCCATTGTAAAATTCTCAAGTCTTTTGTTTCGTCTGTATGGAACATTAGCCATTTATTGCATTACAATTTCTAGACTCTATATGCCCACCACATCAGTGTCGGATTCATGAAAAATGGAAAATCTATCAGGAAACAAGTTTTCAAATGCTTTTTGTGCGTTTTTGTGCGTCGTGTGTCTGACGGGACAAACTGTAGTGTTTCCTCTTTGGATTGACTCAGGTCGGCCGAATAATGTAACGTTTACAGAAGGATTTCAGCCTTTCATGGACCAAACCTTTGTTTCAACGTTTACAGCAGTCGGTGTATTAGTTTTCTATGGCTCAGTGTTCACCTTCAGGACAGTTTTCTACCTAAAAAGTGGTGAAAGGTTTAATTTCAAAGCAATTCCGTTAAAGGTTTTTGCGTTGGCTGCCTTGTGTTTTGCAATCACCGATAATATGACAGATGTTTTCAGCAAATGGAAAGAGAACAGCACCTTACCTTCAAGCAATACTAACTAACATTACTATTCCTGCAACATTAGTGCTAAGGTATAGAGTGATCGCACTTAAAGCGTGCAACTGTACAAATTTAAGTAGTACTAATTGATACTAAAAGTGGACCTGAAGCAAGACAGTATTGAATGCTTCATTTGTATCAATTCAATTTAATTTGCATCCTAATTCACTAGAAATGCGTCTTGTGCCTTTATTTTGATTCACTAGAAATGGGTCTTGTGCCTTTATTTTACAACCATTATCGTTGAAGTTCAACCCACATGTGCGTGACGTAAAAGTCCGCATCAAATTGCTAAGTATCACAATAAGTGTACGCATTAGACAATGAAAACAATTTGCATAATTCATAGTACAATTTAGCACTATTTAATTCTTAAGTTTTTTCATCAAGCGCACTCCAGAAGATAAAATTCTCTGTCAATAGTCTCCTTCACGGTTCGTTCCCTGCGCCATCTTGAAAGGTAGCCGTGCCTTTTCTTCGACGCAAGACAACCCTTGAGCGTGCAATGGTCGTCAATGGTCAACGGTCGTATCTCTTCGATGCAAAGGCACGGCTTCCCTTCAAGATGGCGCAGGCACCATGCATGAAGAAGACTATTTCAGTCAAAAATATTATTTTTCTGTTTGCTGTTCTTCGTTATTTTATATTTCAAGTCAGTTTAATTTATTTTAAATTCTTTCTTTTTGGAATTTTTGGATATCAAACTAACGTTAATTGTTGGCCAAATGTTTCTTTTTTCCTTAAAGATATTGCATCCTGAAAAAGTCCCCAACAAGGAAAAAACTGATATGTGCTATAGTTACAATTCTGTCGTTATTCGTGTGTCTTCTGCCGTCCATTTTTCCCGGAATTGACCGAAAATCCAGGAACAACAAAGTACAAGGTGGTGCTGGGAAGGAATTGCTGGGAGCATTTGGCCTTTTATTTTTCTTTCTGCTTTTGTAAGTACGTTAGACTATCAATGCAAAGAGATGTCTGAAACTCTCATTTTGTTGAACTATCTTCTACATTTCAGATTTTCCAGGCCATCACATACATCCTCTCCGAGGAGTTATACCAATCTACAAAACGGGACTTGGATGTCGTTGGCATATTGGTTTTAAATCAATGTGTACAGTTGATCCTCGTGTCAATAACAATATTATTAGATGCTGTTCCATTCTTTGGAAACGTTGATAGCTTGTCCAAAGTTATTTCGAAGTGAGTATGTCACAGAAAGCCTATAACAGTCAAACGTTTATTGTTTTAGCTCTTGAATAGTATCACACAAGTCTCCTTCACGGATGCATGCGCCATCTTGAAAGGTAGCCGTTCCTTTGCATCGAGGCGCGACGTCCGTTTAGGAGTTGAGCGCGTATAGTAAAAACCTTTTGTTCACGCCCAAAGAAAATCTAAGTATCTATCATTGCACTCTCAATAGTCGTCTTGATTTGATGTAAAGGCGTAGCTACCTTTCAAGCTGTCGCAGGGAAAAGTGAATGAGATTATTGTATTTTTAACTTTACGCCAGTTTTGCCTCGAGTCAAAAACATTGATTTGTTTTACATTTCGAATGATTTTTAGCTTGTCCTTTAGTGTACGTTGCTTCTTTGGTAAAGGTGGCTGCTCCTTTCAACCAGCGATATATGGAACGCTTTCCCTTTTCTTTTCTGGTGGTTTTGCTCTAGGATCATCCTGTCTTCTTCGCTACTCTGAAGGGGCAACTTACATGACGATAGTATTGGTAATCCAATTTGATTTGCCAGTTTTTATATAAAAGTCATACAAGAAGGGCCGTGTAGCGGTGATACACTGTGCAACGTCTTTACAAGTTGCTGGAATGAGTTTGGAGTTCTTTACTTCGTGCAACGCTATTCGTAGCAAAAATGGTTGCAAGACGACCCCTGTCTATTCATTAGGGCTTTGTGTCGCAACAGAGCGTTGTGAGATAAGTTGCTGGGGAAAATGCACAATGTGCTACATGGCCTGTTTTTCTAGAATGCAAACACTATACTAAAACCATAAAAACTTTAGCAATAAAATGTGCTTAATTGTATTAAAAAAATCACGAATTCTTTTGTTTTCTATTGCCTAATTTACACAGCATATCAGCAGAAAATTATGATCGTTTTAAGACATATTCCAAGTATGTATAAAACATATCAGAAATTATGGGATATCATCGCTGATATTATTCTGAAGTTTGCCTAGCACTAGTACTATACAAAAAAAATATTGATGATATCCCATAATTTCTTGTATATATTGTATATACTTGAGCAAGACAGATAATAATTTCTGCATATTGCTGTGTACAGTATATTGTGATTATTGGGCATTATTTGGTCAGTACGTTGTCTTTTATTGTTTGCACTCTACCCAATCTATTTTTGCCTTTTTTTATATTTATTTTTTGACAACCCCTCTTGGATTCTTCTTCTGGACTCTTTTTAAGGAACAACCAACACTCCACTTGGATCCTCAAATGAGCGTCACTGTGTGGTTGAATATCATAGGACTTGTATTCATTGTACCAGCCATTTACATCTATAACACAGAGTTAGTATAGGCTATGACGTAATTTTCAGTTTTCTTTTTTTTTTCTGATTATAAACCGCTTCCCGATCTATAGCTGAACACAAAGTGCTCAATTTCTCATCCAGTTTTTCCTTTTTAGGGAAAACCAAGAAATAGCAGAACAGGAAGGCAAAAAAGGAGTGGAGACAAGTCCTTTGCTAAAGTCTACCTCCGCTAAAAAGAAACCATAAACAAAGGAATGTAAACAAGGCCTAAGGCCCTGCAGGATCTAGGGATTCCATTAACCGGAACTTTTTTGCTTCTTGTTAAATTCAGTTAGAATATTTTTGAACTCGTAATGTCATTTTTTATGTCGTAAGCATGTATCATTGCATAGAGCCCGTCGCTTCAGAATTTTTCACTGTTTAATAATAACAACAAAATGCGCTCTCTGGCGACTATTTGTTTTACGGTAACGTCAGTTTCCGATGGCAACAATCACAGCAGTAGCAGTTAGTTTCGCGGTCGACTGTAGATTCACCCCTTTTTTCCTTCTATTAATTATGTATGGAAATAAATGTATTGTATTGTATATATCCCAATCGTTACGTATACCAAGGCTTATATTCTATTAGCACTGTTATTTGCAAAGAGTTGAAATAACTCCATCAATGGGCTTCCTGTTTTTGTATACATTTCGCGTGACGTCTATCAAGCTATCGAGTAATGTCGTTCTGCTGAAGTACAAGAAATGGAAAATCTACCGACAAATAGTCAGCATCATTCAAAGAGATTACAATTACACAATGCATTCTATGCGCTTGTAAGCGTCGTCAGTCAAACTGGGCAAATTGCAACCTTGCCTTTATGGATCGACTCGGGTCTACCGAGTAACGCTACGGTCTCTAACAGTACAGATGGATTTCGACCGTTCATGGACGAAACTTTCGTTACAATCTTCACAGGATTCTTTCTTGTGGTAGTTTATGGCGTAATGCTGGCTGTCAAAGCTTTTATCTCCGGCAAAAATTGCCAAAGATTTAATTTCAAACTGATTCCTTCAAGACAACTGGTATTGACTAGTTTATGTGGTTCTGTCGCTGCCATTTTGACGATGTTTTCTGCAAGTGGAAAAAGAACAGCACCTTATCTTCAATCAATACTACTGAACAGTACTATTCCTGCAACAGTTGTGCTAAGGTAATGGAGATATTTATTCTATCGCGACCATTTGCCAGTTTTTGTTTTACTATTGCACTAAAATGTACTAAAGAACTAAAGGTACTTTGCCAACAGAGTACCCCGTCGAGAAGCAAGGAGAGAAGGAATCTGTACTATGAGACAAACATACTAACATTTGCAATTCGCATGTTGCTAATTGACGACTTTTAAAATCTCTTAAGCGTGCAAAATGTTGCAGGTACATAGTGGTACGATTTGTTGATATGTGTAAGATATAGCCGGGGTTTGAAAACAATGTCGGGGGTGCGAGTGTAAAATGTGGCTGAGGGCACGGGTGCAGTGTTGCATGTTGGGATAAAATTTCGGTGTATGTGAGTTCGTTCAATTTCGCGAATGCTAATTTTGGGTGTTGTTACATTGTCGATGGGAACGGGTACAACGTCCTAGATGTGTGTTTTGTTACAATGTCATGGGTACCGGTAAATCACCGTCACGGATATAAAATGGTAGCAAAATGTCCGGTGTATGATACACTTTCGTGGGTGTTGGTACAATGTCGGGGTTGGGGGTGAGTGTGTAAGATGTCGCAGATACGCGAAAATGTCAGACTATCGTGAATTCAGTCAACTCTTGCCTTATGGACACCCCGCTACAACGGACACCTCGATATTGCGGACAGTAAAATACTGAATCCCCGGCGAAAAATATACAAAGAAATGACTGAAAGTAACTCTCGTTAATACGGACTCTCGCTACTGCGGACATTGAATTACGGTCCCTTGGGTGTCCGTAATAGCGAGAGTTGACTGTAAATGACATTTGCATCTCTTGATTATAATGTCGTTAGTGACGTTTTTCCCGTAATTTCCTTTCCAGGTATTGTATTCTGAAAAAGTCACCAACCAGAAAAAAACTAATTTGTGCCACAGTTACAGTTTTGTCACTATTTGTGTGTCTTTTACCGTCCATTGTTCCTAAAATTGATCCAAAGTCCAATCAAGGCAATGTGCAAGGTGGCGCCAAGGGATTTGCTAAAGTCATTTGGCCTTTGATTTTCATTATCGCTTTTGTGAGTACAAGGATTCAAGGCCTTCCCTTAATGGCCTATTCTCCCAAACGTCAAATTTCTATTTTGTATTCCCTATTCCAAACTCATGCAAACCAATTTACTAACTTTTTAAAAAGGCCCTGGATTTTGTGTTTGTGATTGCACAAAGGCACGGCTAAATCGCATAAAGACATACCCATGCAGCAATCCCAGACAAACTCCCAATATCGATACCCTAACCCACAGCTAAAAGACCCAAACATATACAATATAAATCAGGCGCAAAATACTACATGTATATAGCAATATAGTGGAATGTTCCATTGCTCTTCCTCTTCGGTCAGAAATGAGGAAATTTTACTGATAGAAAATAAAGAAATAAAAGTACAGAAAGAACATGTTTTACGTCTAGCAACTGTAGCTACTGTTATGTATCAGACACGCTGCTTACACTCATGACCATTACATCGAATACTTTAGCACACACTAACACAGTTATTTTTGACTGAGGGATGAAAATGAGCGTCCCGGAGAAAAACCCTCGGAGCAACTCGTTTTGACATATTATTTCTCATTTCAGATTTTCCAGGCCCTAACGTACATTGCTTCAGAGAAATTGCTTCAATCTACAAGAAGCCTGACTGTAGTCAGTGTGTTGTTCTTAATGCAGTGCTTGATGTTTGTCTTYACGTTRTCKTCRATATTTTTAGATGCTCTTCCATTTTTTGGAAATGTAGATAACTTGGCCAAAGTCGCTTTAAAGTGAGTATATTGAGGATATTACATGAGCGCGCGGAGATACAGATTTTATCTTGGCTATACGCACGCTCGTAAGAGATGAAAATTCGTATCTCCAAGCGACCATGTAATTTTCTGTTTATCATATCATTGTATATGAAAGCAAGTCATTTCGTAAAATAGCTTTTTTAATTCCAATACATAGAGAAACCTCGAATGTACATGTCGTTAATTTTACTAGTGAAAATAACATGTTGAAAATATCAATTTTACGTAATGGAGAAATATAGGTATTTCATAGATAATTATATGATAAATATTTAATCTGTATCAGAATATCTGTTTTAGCTTGTCCTTTGGTGTACGTTGTTTCTTTGGTARCGGTGGTTGTTCGTTTTACCCAGCGCTRTATGGCACCCTTTTYCTTGTGTGCACTAGTGGTTTYGCGCTCGGATCATCGTGTCTTCTTCGCTACTCTGAAGGAGCCACTTACATGGCAGTTGTACTGGTAAACTGTTTTTTCATACGTTCATATGTTGGTATAATGTGGTGGTATAGCTGTAATTGAATTGTGGCTATGAATGTGTATGTGATGTAGAGGTGTATGTGATGTAGAGGTGTATGTGATGTAGAGGTATATGTGAATTGTTGCGGTAGAGGTGTATGTGATGTAGAGGT